GGAGAGAGAAGAGGGGAGGTGGAGAGAGCCAGGAACCCCTGTGGAAGAGCCTGGGCCTTCCTGCCTTAGATATGGTTAGCCAGCCGAGAGCCACTGGGGAAGAAGCTGACAAAAATAAAGCAAAGTTTTTACTGTTCTCCTTCCTAGCCTGGTTCTGCTCCTACCCTTCCGTCTCTTGGGGTTCTCTCTAGGGTGCTGTGGCAGCCTGCTCATTGCCTTCCATGCAGGTAGACGGACAAACGCAGCACAGACTGAGGTAAATGGAAAACAGCCAGTTCTTTGTGTATGATTAAGGGAGGCTTGTATCAGAGCATCCCAGTTGTTTCTGGGCAGCATTCTGACACCCACAGTTAAGGAGGGACACGGTATGACTGGTGACTCTAATAAAAAAGAACTTTTCTACTACCAGACACTGACCAGTCCCCTCAACCCTAGAGCAGCAGCCAGGGTTTCTTGCGTGAGCTTGATGGAAAGAACTGGGGCATGAGTTACTCGTTTTGTACTTCCAGTGCTGGGAGAAAACCCCGTACATACATTCTGAGAGCTCTTGGTGTCCAGCTCAGCTCATGCTGCCATGGCTGTCAGGTGGAGGTCGTGACCCAGCTGAGGTCACACTAGCACATGTTTCACCTCACAGACTCTGTTCTGCCCGTGGGCTCTGTTGGCATGGGTGGATCTCCACACCGGAGAGCTTTCATCTTGCCAATAAGAGGGACTCAGGCTGTTAGAGCCCGCCTCCCGCTGGTGAAAAGTAAGGTGACAGTGTAATGTGGACCTCTTCATGAAGACTCTAAAAATAAATGCCAAACAAGTGCCTACCTGGACAGCACTACTTACCAGCTGTAAAATGAGGTGTGCCATAGACAAAAACAAGTTTATTCACACTGAGCATGACCCTTTTCTCTTAAAGCATGTGAAAGTGCATTAGACGGCCCACAGTGCAGCCTGTGCCTTGTGTAGCATGGTGGCTGATTCATCCTTCCCCTTGTTGCAATTGCAGTTCCCCAGGCAAGGCTTGCAGCAGACCCAGCAACAGCAACAGACAGCCGCCCTGGTGCGACAGCTCCAGAAGCAGCTTTCTAGTAAGTACCTGTCTCACATGGGGCCAGGGGAGCCCTGGAAGTCAGCAGCCCCAAGCCCAGGACAGCGGTGACCCTTCAAAAATCAGTTTCCTCGGAGCCATTTAAAAATGTTTTTGAAATAGAATTACATCACTTTCCTTCCTTCCTTCCTTCCTTCCTTCCTTCCTTCCTTCCTTCCTTC